TACTTAATTGAAAATTCGACTTTCATCAACTGTTTAGAAAATATCCTTATTTTTCAATAATTTCTTATGTACAAAAAAAATGCTATGAATGGTGAGATTTTAAATAAAATTAAAATTAATTTTTTAATAGATGTTTTTTTTTCCGCTGAAAAATTGAAGAAGTCGGTAGTTGCTTAGGTTAAAACCTAGGACTTAGATGTCTAAATATTATTTCTCGCAGGAAAGGTCAATAGGTCACTTAGTTTCGGATAATTTTTTAAATAGATGCTTAAAGATATAAGTTTAGAAAGCATTAATTAATTTATTTTAAAATAATTATTAACTTCAAATTTATTAATTATCTAGTTAAAATTATAACCTAATTTTATTATTTAAAATAATGTCCTTTTTAAAGTTTTAACTAAAATTTTATTTTTTTTTATTTTTAATTTTTTTTTAATTTTTGGCTTCTAAAAACAGCTAAAATTTTATTTTAAAATTTTCAATTAATGCGGGGTAGAAAAACGGAACTTATGGTATCATGGATTGAAAACCCATGTCACCTGCCTCGCCGAACCTCTTAAATGACATGCATTTATTACAAGTTTCAGAGGACAGGTTCAAGCAGCAAATACGTTTGATGGAATGCCACAAGGTAATTGCTTCTAGTTTCTGCAGGCATTTGTTTGCGGTAATGCACAAAGTAAAAATAAAATCCAATCCTGGAAAGAGAATGATGATTGCTAGTTGGACCTTTGTAACGTGCCTGTCCTGCTAAAAACCCAAATGAAATGACAGCTCCAGGTTGGAGGAAACAGAGCAACAACTGACCCCCTCCTCCACTAATTGATATGTCTCGGGTATGTATGGTATTCTATCATTTGATTTCACTTTTGAAAAGAAACGGATGTGGGTTTTTGTTTTTGAAATTTTAAGTTTTCTAGAAAGACAGTAGAGATGGAGATGAAATTTCTAAATTATGCAGAAGCTTTCTTCTAGGCAGGCCATTATTGTTCTGGGGGTTAGCTGGATGGGCATAATGATATGATATCTGTACCTTTCTCATCTTCAAACTATTGGTCTTTTTCTTCATCAATATAAAACCATGGGGAATTGATAGAAATCTTATCATTAACACCTGTTCTTTTCATATAATAATTTTAATTAATCTAGATTTTCAAGGCAATGTAATTCCAAAAGGGTTAGAAACTTAAAAATTCTTAGTTGATGTAGATAACGTGTCTTTAACAAATCAAAAAAGCACACTTTAGTTGGTAAAATTATGAATGAATGAGTTTCTTGGAATTGAAAGGCTTGCTCGTTGATAATTGTGGGGGTGGGTGGGGGTATGTATGCTTGTGGTTTATGCAAAACCCAGGAATGGTATGACGTAATTTGACATTGTGCGAAACTTAAAAAAAGTCCAAGTTTAGAATATAAGGGAAGAGGCGGATTATTGACTAAAGCCCAACATTAAGGAAAGGACTTTGTGAATATAAATTGAAGAGGGGAAAGATTCAAAGCTATGATTGAGAGAGTTTGAATTTTAAACAAAGCTACAAAGCTGGTAGTTGTAATCCAACAAACACAAGTCAATGCATGGCAACTCAGAAAAACACGTTCGTTTGAAAGGTTGAATTTCATCTTAATTCTTCATAACTGCTTCTGCGCTTCCTTTTATTAAATACGTGCCTTTTTCCCTCAATTGACTGTGACCTTTCCCTCTTCGGCCGTCCCTTTTAATCCCTTACCGTCCCACACTTCCCACATTTTTCACACAATTCCTGCCCTGTCTTTAGGGAATTTCTCTGCAACACTAATTGCTTGTTTGATTTGAGAGAAAGGGAAGAAAAATGAAGAAAATTTTCTATTTAGAAAAAAAAAAAAATTGACCATGGAAATGAAAGAAATTTTGCTTTAATTTTCTTTATATTTTAGTAAATCCCAACAATGAGAGGAGAGGGGAGTGAAATAAAAGGATATTGTCTCCCCTCCCCCTCCTTTTTCCTTAATAGGTATCCATACAGATTCAAGTCTTCTATATAATATAAAGTAAAGGTTTCGTGTAACATGGGTTTGTAAAATATCATTAAGATGAGTGAGTGATCAGAAGAATGGCTGGTTTAAAAATATGAACCGAGTATATTTTAAAAAATTGTAAAAAAAAGAAAGAGAAAGGTATAATGGAAGCATATTTGACTGATTCAGTGTCTCTCCATTCGTTTGTTAGTTTCTGTCCTCTTGATGTTAGTGGTCCTCCTGGCCACAAGCCTAAAGCCAGCAGCCACTAAGAGAAGTTGTTTCTTTTGACAAATCTTCCTTGGTCGGTGCATAAAATGAGAAACATGAATTCTCATGGACTAATTTGATCTACATCTTAGCTTTATAGCCTTTCTCATTGCTACCAATCCCATGCTTGTCGTGATCTTAACCTCTTAAATACCACTTGAATGTATAGGATAATTAAATAGGAGAATCCACTTGGCAGAGCTAGGGTGGTCTTCGACTCCATTTCTTTATCAATGTTTCATTTTG